GTTCATCTGTATCATGACCGATCCCGGCCATGATCTCCACCGCTCACCGCGCCGGCCCGTGCGCGCCGACGCCCCGCGCGGAGTGCCCCCCTTTCCCTTGTTTAGGCCAAAAGGGGGGGAAAAGCCATGCATTGCTCCATGATTCTCCTCTCACCTGACCATGTCCGAAAGTCAGTCGAGACATCATGCCAAATCACATGCACAAGCTTTGACTGCCTGACACCTCTAATGCCTCCTTACAACACACGACCGACTGAACGAAGCGATTCTCGTCTCGACGACCGCCCCCCTTCTCTGGTGTTGCTCCTCAACTCTCAACGAAGGCGCCCCCACCCCTTTCTTCCTGGCGCCCTCACTTTAACCTCTTAGTGAAGCACCCACCCCGACCCGAGAAACTCTCTCCCGCGTCCTTTCGTGCTGCACTCTGCCACGCGGTATGTTTTACTCTTGCCCACGGGATGAATGCCCTTGTCGCTTTCTCACCCCGTGCTCTCTTCCCCTTCAGATTCCGTCATCTCCGACGACGTCACCTCGCCCGAGGACTCATCTTCCCCGGGCGCATTTGCCGCCCCGGCCACGTCTGCAATGCCGAACCGAAAGCACTGTCGACATGCCTTGTGGTAGGCCGATGCATTGGGAGCCTCCTGCCCCAGTACCTCAAAATGAGCGTAGTGCACACCAGGCTGCCTATGGCAGTCGCCGACACGGTGCAGGGTCTTGGTCTTCGACCTGCCCACCACCGATACTACAAACATCCCTGCCACTTTCTCTAGTGGCAGAATGTTGGGCTGCTCCAACCCGTCGTCCTGTGGATCCGGCTGCCTGCTCTGTCTTGACCTCAACTGTGCCTTCATCATCACCCACTAGGACGACAGGCCCAGTGATCGTCCACTTAGGCCTGAGGCAGGTTTTCGCAGCGTCGTGACCGGGCATGAAGGTCATCAAGCACATCATCTGCTCGTCACACTCTTCCTGCTTGAAGCCCATGCCCCGCATGCGTTGCTCGACCAACTGCACCACATTGGTCTCATCGAAGGGATCCGAGTTTGCCATGTTTTCTTTGATGAACATGGCCATGACTTTCTGGCTACGCAGGACGTTCACCTTCACATTCTGCTCATAGGCCTCGTCCGCCGATGGGCGCCATCTGCCAATCATCCTGCGCACATCTTCCGGGATCCTTGCCGCTTGGGACCATGTCCGCACGGTCACCCTCTCGCTGCGCTCTGTCCACAGCACACCCAAGCCTGGCTGTAGGAGAGGCTTCGAGCCCTCTCCCTTTCCCATGCGGATCTCGTTGAACAGCGCTTGCGACATAGTCGAGGCGATGGGGTAGTCCACCACTTTCCTCACAAAGCCATTGCACGACTTGTCCGGCCAGGGCAACATGAAGTCTCTTGTCGCTAGCCCTGAACTCGTCCCCATGGCCGACCAGAGCTTCCAACCGACCTCCAGCCAGTCCTTCTCCATGATCCAGGCCTGGCGACTGATGTAGAAGGGGAGGAGTATGACCCGCTTTCCTGGTCCGGAGGTCTTGGAACGATGAATGACCCCCTTCAAGCTCGTGTCACTGAGCTCCAACGTGCGGTTGGGCACCCCTTTGGTGTCATCGAACCTCATGCCCGTCCAGAGCTTGATGAGCCGAAACCATGCATAAACAGGATGGTAGCTGGGACGGGATTCATCACAAACATGCTGCTCCCATGCGACCACGATCGAGACCGGGATGAGCAGCGCCTTTCTCGAAGGCTTCAGCTCCACTGATTGCAAGCGGAGGTTTGCCTCTTCCAGAGCGTTCTTGATGGCCGGTGCCCGACACAGCTGATCCGACTCAGGAACTTCGCCAGCGTATTCGAGGAACATGAGTGCCTTGTATACAGACTCCGGAAAGCTGCGTGCGCAAGGCTCTTCAACCATGGCCTCCAAGAACTCCGCGAAGCACTCTGGGCTCGCAGGCCACTGCTCGCCAAACACAGCGTCCATCCACCGGGAGGCTTTCATCCATGTCTTTACATGCTTCCTCAACGTGTTGGCTCTTCGGCCTTTGGCCACCCGGATGAGGAGCGCATCCTCGCTGGAGCGTAGTGCCACTGGCAGCTTGGCTGCTACTACAATGTTCCGAATTTCCTTCACCCACCTGTCGCGCTCCTGCTTCTCTGCCAGCTCTCGAAGCGCCAAGTCACTCGAGGCGATGTGAAGTTTCATACTGAGCCTGGTGGGCCACCTCGATCTCTTTGCGGTACCAACTAACTCAACCTTCGACTGTGCCTCGGCCCGCTGAATCTCATGGAAGGTGCGCCGACGGAGATCTCTTTGATGGGCCACATGGGCATCCAACAGGTCTTGCGACCCCCGCTTTGCGTCCGACCGATGCCGACTTTGTGCGCAGACTGCGCACAGCTCAACCAACTCGGCAAGCTTGTCCTTGTCCAGTGCGACCCCATCTCCTTGTTGCTCCAACTTCCAGAGCACTGCCTTCAGCACGGAGTCGTCGCTGTCAACAAGCGTAGCCAAACGAGTGACCGTCCAACCTGACTTCTTCAGGACCTCCATCTCCGTGTCCGTCAGGTTGGCACGGCCCTCAACCAAAGCCCAGTCCTCCTGGGCTGCCATGGCGGCGAAGCTGGGCCCCGCCGATAGCAAAACGTGGATTGAGCCACGTAGCTACCGATCGTTACGTGACAAGCCGTGTACTGCGTACAACTAGCCATATATTACATATAGTTTTATGTTACTCTTTTTGGAGGGGGTGGGGGTAGGCTGCTAGTAGCTAGAGGTAGCTAGTAGCTAGGTAGCTAGTATCTGCAAGTAGCTACTACTTAGGACGCAGGATAGCTCGCGCTAATCATTTGGTTCCTAGATGTTTAGGGAAACTTAACATTACATATTCATATATTAGATAGACAAAAAAGAATACATCAACGACACCATAAAGAAATCAAAAAGAGATGAAAGAGGCTAAGCATTATTGCTTGTTGTTCCCTTGCAGCGATGTCCATGCGTAATTTGGGGGGTACTTGCGTAATTCAGTTGATTCTTACTTGTGCCACAAAGAATCAAGCTGGATGTAGCAAAGCAAAGGTGCCAACTGGATGAGAGCAGACTTCTCAGCTTTGGGAGACACTAAAGGAGGCTTGGAAACACAGTGAGGAAACATTCCTGCTTAGAGGAATCACCCATAGGTGGCAATTCGTGCGTAGAATGCAGCAAAATGTCATAAAATGTCCATATCCAGCTGGATCTTTCAATGAGAAAGTTTAGGGTGAAGGCAAACAGTCTTGGCTTCAATAAAACCAAATCGAGTCATCTGGTTGCAAACAGCTGTTGGCTATTTGGCCTTGACATTCTTCATCGTGCCAATCTCCCTCTTTCCAGGCCTCCATGCTCAAAGCATCGCTCAATTCACATCTCAACGAGAGAAATTCTCTCGTTATGTCTAGCAAATGAACGAAATGAACTCAACAGGCAAAAGATTTGCTTCGTGCTTCGTTTTGGAAAAATGTCGATCATCTCCTTTCAAACGGTGGAAGGACATCTGGCGCCTCTATGGCCGCAGTCTTGTTACCATCTCCATCGAGCTAAGCTGCTCAGATCTGCTAAGCAAAGAAACCGAGGTATATCTCTTGGCGCCTAGACTAGTAGAATCAGTCTACTTCAGGTCTACTCAGTCTATTCTCTGCGTTACAAAAAGGACTTCCTTGTCGGGGCTAAGTATACCACAGTCTAAGACACAAGACTTGAGAGTCGGCTGCTGAAAATCTGATGTGTAAAGTCTGCGGTCTTCTTCTGTGTGGCCTGTCGGATGCGTGTTTCTTCGAGAAATGGGTCAATATCTACCTGATTTTGGCACATGTATTCGCAACCTTGCATCCTTGCGGAAAAGCTGCATTCGTCTATCACATGTGCTCAACTCATCAAACTGAGCCGGAGCATGACATACACAGCAGCTGCAGCTTTTGGTCTCTTGCTGCAGGTCTCTTGCCGTTGCACTCACTTTGCCAGATGCTTCATCAGGTAGTTGTAGGCCTCTCAGGATGTCTTTGGATTTCTTTTGCCAAGAATTGGCATAGGTCAGTCCTCGCCCTCTTCGCTGAAGTCAACGACTGCCACGCAGCTTGTGCCAACCACCTTACGAAAACAAAGGCTGAGAGCGACATGGAGCAGGAACATGCACTTTACGCTGGCCTTTCTTGGGAGACCATCCTTGTCGATCTTGCAAAGGCCTTCGATGCAAACTCAAACCGATCACGAGTCTCACGACAGAAC